AACAAAAGAGACTCATCAAAACAATTGGAACCAGAGCCCAGCTGAGCTCACAAACTGAAATCAAAATGCTCCACAACGGTGGGATAGCAAGACCGCATCTGCCGCTCTCACGTCCATTCTGATGCATAGGGACCCGACGTAGGGTTTCTGAGACCAAAAATCTTTAGAGGAGCAGCCGCCTCATCCATCTCCTGGGAAGCCCCTGGTGGGTTTGAACCGCTAACCTGGCTTTAACAGTCTAGCACAGCAGTTCTCAACCCCCTTTGGGGGTCATAACAGTAGCAAATCACAGTGATGAAGTAGCAACGAAAATAATGTTATGGTTGGGGGGCCACCACCACATGAGGAACTGTATGAAAGGGTCACGACATCGGAAGGTTGGGAACCACTGGTCTAATGCTTACCTGACAGCACCACCAGGACCTCTTAGTGGAGGAAGAGAGGCTTGTTTCTGGGGTCAAACCAAGAACTAAGGGGACCACATTCTGATTGGAAGTTGCAAGATCAGGGAAGTCAGGGGGAGACCACTGCAGGGGGGATCCTTTTCAATGATGTGGGATATTTTGATTGTTTAGTTTTAATAGGTGATTAAGGGGGGTTGACAAGGTGGTCATGCTGTGATTATCTCCCCTCCCCACAAGCACACTTACACAGTTTGGGGAAGTACAGATTATAATTTAGGACCAGACATGACTCAGGACACAGTTCTTCAATCAGGCCAACCTCTTCTCAGCAATGCCCACAGGTAGACCTCTCCTTCTTGGCCTCTGGGTCCTTGGCCCCTGGGTCTGGGCTCTGCCCTGCTCAAGCAACTGTTACGATGTTCTTTAACTCTGCCAGTAAGTGTCCAGAGGCACCCCACTCCACCAGGCACTCACAGATCACTAGAGCAGAGCCCTTTTGAGTTCCTCTGCAACCACGAGGTTCTGTGGACCCGGAAGTCCTTCCTTCATCTCTGGTTCTCCTGGGTGCAGGAAGTGGGTGCAGGGACCTCCCAGGTCCCAAGGGCAGGTTCCACTTCAGTCTTTTCTTTTTGGTGGCAATGTGGTCCTCCTTTCCTCTGCTGGGATGGCACATTTTAATCCCAGTAGGACGCAGAAATGACCAATGCCCTCGTTGGGTTCCACACACCTCACTGGCATGGTCTCATCCTCACAAGGGTGCCACGCACCTGACTTGCACTATTCGCAAGCTGCCGGATCTTCTTGGTGACCGAGGATAATTCTCTTAAAACACTGTCTGAGGATAACTAAGGGAATCTCTGATAAGGGTTTGTGTCAAGACCCTCACTTAGGAACAGCCTTTCCATCTCTTTATCCAACCACATGAGACATTTCATTTGTTATGTACTTAAGACTAAGAGTCTGGCGGTTTCTAGGAAAATGAGCAAAAGCCAAGAGAGTCAAGGACACCTGAGAGTGCAGTGGTTAACGAGCTTAGCTGCCCACTACAAGGTCAGTGGTTCAAATCTACCAGGCATCCCAAGAGAAACATGTAGTTGTCTCTTCCTATGAAAATGTATAGACTCAGAATCCCCGCGGAGCAGTTCTGTTACGACAGCAGGAGGGTTGGTTGGGTTTCTAAGATGGAATCAGGATTGAGACCTGGATCATCATTCTGATCCACGTGCAAGCTCCAGATGAGCCCCCACTGAAGTGTTCTGGACTTTGCATCCTTCTGAAGGTTATTTACCGTTTAACTGGGACGTGTCCATGGATCAAGAGGCAGTTATACAAACAGAACAAGGGCAGACTGCGTGGTTTAACATCAGGAAAGGTGCGTGTCAGGGTGTATCTTCTCATCGTACGTGCTCCATCTGTGTGTGGAGCAAATCATCAGTTAGAAGTTGGATTATAGAAGAGGAGTAGGGCGAGAAAGGG